CCCCAAAACCCCAAAACCCCAAAACCCCAAAACCCCGATAGGTAATAGATTTGAAATCTTTTGAATATCTATAATAGAAAAAAATTATCAATAAATTACTTTTCTCTTACTATATTATGACAAAGGATTTAATTACTGACACAGATCAACCCCCTCAAGAAGAGAGCCTTACTTAAATGAGTAAAAATTTAGCTAGAGTTGCAATTCCTATTATTGTCGGCTAAATATTTTCTATGTTTGTTGAAATGCTGAACTTGGTTTTTGCTGGACATCTCGGTGACCCAGTGTTTGTAGCTGCTGCTGGCCTAGGTAATATGTATGCAAATGTAACATGCCTTTTGGTTATCTACGGACTCAATAGCGCCATAGCGACGCTAGTTTCCTAAGCCTATGGAAGTGGCAATCTCAGAAAAGCTGGAATTTATTTAAACAAGGGTAGGATAGCAATATTGTTGTTTTTCATTCCAATATTTGGACTGATGTTCCTCTGCGAAACATTTTTGTTAGCGCTGAGAATGGATCCGGAAACTGCGCGATAAGCTCAAGTTTATACTTATGGATTAGTCGTTGCACTCTTCTTCCAGGCATAATTTGACGCTACAAGATAGTATTTAAATGCTCTTCAAAAGTCTTAGGTTATTACAAATATCATGATTTTCTCATCCTTCTTCCATTGTGGTGTTTTATATATTATGGTAATCAAATTGGAAATGGGAATCATTGGAGCATCTGTTGGGACAATAATCACGTATTTTTTAAACACTATCATCGTGACAGTGTATTGTAAATTGAATGAAGATCTTAAAGAAAGCTTCTTTTTTCCGACTTTGGAATGCTTTGAGAATTTATGGGAATATTTCAGTATGGGTCTTCCATCATCTGCAATGATTTCCCTTGAATGGTGGAGTTTTGAAATCTAAGCCATTTTAGCCAGCTATATTTCAGTTGTTGCTGTAGGTTCAATGGTTATACTAATTAATACATTGACTGTTCTTGCTATGATACCATTCGGAGCATAGATTGCAGCTGCAGTATTTGTCGGTAAGTCAATGGGAGAAGGAAATGCCAAGAAAGGATAGACCTATACAAAACTCATTGTAATTTACACATTCCTAATTTGTATTTTATGCTCAGTATGCCTAGTCTACTTTAATGAAACAATAGCTAGAATTTTTACTAACAATGATTAACTCTTAGCTATGACAATTGAAAACTATAAATACATTGCTATTTTCCTAATTGTTCATGGTATTGGAATGTCTGTAGGAGGAGGACTCAGAGGAATTGGAAAACAATCAGTAGCAACCTGGCTTATATTTGCTGGCTTCTTTTTATTTGGCCATCCAGTTTCAGTGCTCCTAGGATTCTACTTCGACTTAGGAATGAAAGGACTTATTTTCGGATTTTGTATAGGTAGCTTTGCAATGGGCTTCTTTTATCTGATAAACCTAGTATTTTTGACTGATTGGCAAGCAAGAGCTATTGCAATAAGAAAAAAAATGAGAGATGATCTTCATGATTAGAAATTAATGGTAAACAACCCTGACCTAAAAGCTAACCTGCTTCATTGATAAATGCTTCAACTTAATGATTGAATCTTGAAATGTTTTGAATCTAGGAAATTTGAGAAATTTCAAGGATCTAGAGACATCAACTCTAACTCTTTCAAATAATATCAACTTTTATCGCTAATAATTTAACTTATTAAATGCCTAAACTTGATTGCCGGGGTTTTGGGGTTTTGGGGTTTTGGGG